AACGTCCTGTGGTTCCAAACAGCTTTCCTTCTACCCCTTGGTGAGCTCAAAATGCACTGCTCTTTTATGTGTGTGTGTGTGTGTGTGTGTGTGTAAAACTTTCTAATGGAAAAAGCATCTCGATAATTCGAAGTTTTGGTGGTTTCTTTTCCAACTTGTATTAACTGTTTTCTTTGTAGATGAAGTAAGAATATTGGACGCGTTATCTTTGTTGCCTCCTCCATTGTCGAAGATATCTTTAATTTTTTAAATTTATTTTACATCGTAATCGTTCAATGTTGTCAAGGATAATTAAAAAATATAAGGGTTGTTATGAAATATTGCGCAGGGGGCTCAGATGAAGTTTCATAAGGAACCGCCTTCCCTTCCTGAGTTAAATAAAAGTAACTTCATTAAAAATTCACTGAAATATGATACCTATTTTAATATTTTGGTTCAAATTTAAAAAAAATATATTTACGCATAGTTTGGCCATATTATAATATTATTTAATAATTTTAAATTTATTATATCTCTGTGCTTTCATCAACTTTTATTTCCCTCTCTTACGTTTTTGTCAGAGATGTATGGGACTCCGCTTTCCCCTCAAAGGGAACGTATTTTTTTTAATTGGCCCAAGCCTGTGACGTTTTCTTGCATCCCCGAAATCTCAACGTCTGAGATGGCATTGACACGACTTAATGCACAGACTTGCTCATCACAATTGTTTCACGTAGACTATCTCATTTCCATATGTTTTGCGAGAATCGGGGCCGGATCTAGACATTCAATTTGGCAAAGGGGCCCAAGTTCCTTGTCCACATTAACAAGATTGATCGTCGGGAACGTTCAGTTGAAAACAAGGTCTAACATTACTAGTGTAATTAAGATCTTATTTCAACTTTTTTAAGGTCGCTTTTTAACAACTGGGTCATGGAGCGACCACTGTGGTTATTTACACTTAGGTACCTGTAAGGGAACACGACACGTAAGGACAACACGAGCACACACAATTCATGCTCGAGGCGGGATTCGTACCCGCGACCCTTTGAGCCAATGCAGCTACGGCTCTACAGCGTTAGCAACCTCGGCTATCCAGGTCGGCTGGTTTCAACTTTGTTTCATTTTTTATAATGATATTTAATTTAAAAAAAAAACATAGTTCAACACCTTCACAAATTGCTCTTGTTGCTCATCTATTGCAATGCAATAGCAAATGCATCATGCAATCTACTCATATTATAATTAACGTACATATTTTTTTCTTGTTTCAAAGTAGCATTAATTATGTCCATTCGGATAATGGTAGGGGTCACTACTTCTGGATACTTTGCCGGCTAGAACTTCAGGAATTGACCATTATTAGGTAAATATTTAAACCTAACTTTACGTTTAATCAATTGGCGCATTTGGATTCGTTACCTGAAGCGTGCATGGAGAAACATTTCTCTCTACATGTGTGTAGAACACTGGTCTCCCGGCCAATGCTGTGGCTGTTGCACGGTCCTACCACCCATACGGTACCGACTAGGTGGCCTAGCAATTCTTAAATATGAATGGCTTCTAAAGGAAGGAACGTCATATTTTTGACGACATGAAGGTAACATTAAAAATAGTGTTTTATGCGTTAATAACATTAGACAATCCTTTATAGCGTTCTAGATGCCCCTCAAATTTGGTGATATTTATTTACTAAGAGTTTTTCTTTTCTTCGAAATATGAATTTCACCCCTTCAACAACATAAGGTTAAGACATCATTAAGTTTTGAAACTTCAGAAAGAGTCAACGGAAAAAAGATGTAATAGGAATTCCAAATGACGCCTTATTTGGATAATATACATTTTAGTTTTATAATAGAATGAATTATTCCATGTTATTAATTTTCGCCAAGAATATTATTTAACTACTGTTTTACTTTCTTGTAGATTACATGTATAATAGGTCAAATTCTAGTAATCATTCATATTATCAATAAAGCAAGTTACTGGTTTTTATAGAGTTTTAAAATGCTTAATTTGATTGAATTTACTTACCTATAAATAACATAAAATATTGTCCAAACACGTAATTAAAATTGACATAATTACCTGCTCAAATCCATAAATAACATTTGTTTGAATCTATGATAAAATACACAATTTTCAGTCTGATGCAATTCCATTTATTATCTGGATTTGCTATTGTTGCAACGCATGACTCATTCTAGAGTAATAATCACATTTACATGAAATGTTGCTACCATTACGTTAAGCCCACTCCACCTAAATCCATGTACATCCTTGCATTCGTAATATATCAAGGTTAAATCTGAATGCTCTGTTAGAGGTACTTTGCTCACTTTCATTTGTGCAATGAATACTGACACACTGAGGAACATCAAAATCCAGAAATAGTGAACTGTAGTTCAATTGTAACAAATACAAGTACAGCAGATAATTAACGAATATAACGTACAAATATCGAAAAAACAAAAATCACTTGTAAAGTACAATTAGCGCACGCAGAACACAAGCAGACATACACTTCAAAGAGGATGGAGTGGATTGTAGGAGTGAGATCAAAAACGCATTTCCCCGCGCTCTTTGATGGTGTTCTATGCTTTGTGCTTCTGTGAGGTTCGGCCTTCTGAACCTCAAATGTCTATCTTTCGGTGACTGGAGTTTCGATGTGTCGAAATATTGGACAACTCGAATATTTTTTATTTCATCTGAAATTCGAGTTGTGGAGCGACATCTTCATAATCTACAGCTATAATACAGTTTCACATTAAGAAACTACTTTTCCTTAGGTAAATTTTACTTGTAAGTCTAACTGTACAGTTTTGTAAGATGAATATAAAGAATAAGCTGTATCAAAGAAGTATACAAAGCTGTTGATAAAGCAAAGAATGCTCTGAGTCAAAAGCATCCCTGCAAGCTTTTGTCTACTCGGGCTACTTCGCTGCTTCTTGGGTGATGCTGTTGTTGTTGGTGGTGGCGGTGTGGTTGGATCTACCCGGTTCCATGACTCCCAGTTTTCAACCGTTATCGAGAATATAATTATTGCAGCTATGAAGAACATTAGTGCTCCTATAATATTGTAAATGCGAATCTGAAAAATCGGAAACAAAATAATGTGTGTTATCTGGTTTGTGATAAATATTAAACAAATGATAAATGGAAATAGAAAACAGTAGTTTTCTTGAAGATACTGAAATACTTACCAGCATCTCTCTCATTTTCTGTCCCAAAAGATAGCTTAGAATAACGACTCCTGTTATCATCATATAAGTCCAGTATGCAATATATGGGACTAGCTGTTTTTTGAAATCATATATTAGAGCACTCCCTTCAAAGAACAGGCCAGTACACAAAATACAAAGAGTCTGAAACGAAAATTTCGAATTAGAAATGGAAAATGTTTAGTGGCGCAACCTGGGTTTTTCTAGGGAGCGGGGGGCTAGACGCCTAGTGTAGCCAAATCGATTTGATGTTTTCTTATAAAGAATGTTTCATTTAAGCTGAATTAAAAAAAAGATTGATTTTAAAAGATAAAGACAGAAATGTGAACGATCTGGCAAAAGTGGCTAAACTCTTTAACCAATACTTTTCGAGAATTGCTGCCGATCTCACTAAGGGTCTTCAGCCACAACATTCAGCATCAGACGTGTCCCCAAAAATTTCATGCCCGATGTTTGTTTCCGAAACTTCTTCCTATGAGATTCTCAAAATAATTGGTATACTAAAAAATAAATAATCGGCCTGTTTAGATGAATTTCCGGATTGCTTGTTAAAGGTTTGCGCGCCCGCCACCCGTTAACTCACATATGTAATATATCCTCATGTACAGAAATTTTTCCTGATATTTGTGCAACAGCTAAAACCGCCGCTTATCAAAAAAGGCAAAATTCAAAATTATCGGCCAATTTCTCTTTTGTCGGTTTCTTCACAAAAAAGATACTTTTTTACGTACGAATAAAAGCTTTTCTAAGTAAACACAACGGGTTTCCGGTTTGCCAGCATGGGTTTCGAAAATCAAAACCTACGGAAACAATATTTTCTTTTCTTAAAGATGTCCATGGATAAAAACGAAGCACCAATTGGAATATTTTTAGATCTTTCAAAAGCTTTTGACGTCATTGATCATGGCATTTTACTCTCAAAATTACCTTCGTATGGAATTCGTGGTGTTGCTCTAGACTGGTTATGCTCGTACCTTAAACAACGATGTCAGAGAGTAGAAATACACTACCGGAATAATGAAACATTATGTACACATCTTTCTAATTCTTTGCCAATTTCATGTGGAGTTCCGTAGGGATTTTAGGTCCTATTCTCTTCCTACTATACGTAAACGATATGCTCTCGACGATTAGAAGCGGTAGAACAGTTCTCTTTGCGGACGATATAATATTCCTTACAACAAAGAACCCGTAAATAGTACAATATCAGATATTTCAAAGTACATTATTTTACAACACCTTGCCAGATGACATTAAACAATTAAATTCGATACAACAGTTTAAGTCCCAAGTAAAATATTTCTGCTGCACAACTGTTTCTATACAATTAGAGACTATACCGAGCATCCAAAAGGAAAGTAATATTAATTTTTACAATGACATTTCATGTATTATATATAATTTGGATTGTATGTAAAGAACTATAACAAGTATTGTACTTCAGCTTCTGGGTCAATGATCCTATCTCGATCATGTTTTCGTCCTGCTTTTCTGATCCTCGAGCAAATGCTGAGATGGACCCTTGTTTTGCTTCTGGACATTAACGTAACTTCAAATTAACTTCTCCCCAAAGCACGTCACACACAGTTTTTGACGTAAATAAATAAATTGTTGATTTGTAGTTCTTTATAACGTATTCAGTTGAGATATTGACTGACTGATCTCTATATACAAATACAGAAAAAGAAAAATGATAATTCGTAAAAACCAGATTTGCAAATGTCTCGTCAGCTTGAGGTGGGGGTGGGGGGCTGGCGCCCATGAGTTCCTCGTAGGTGTGTCACTCATGTTGTAGTTATTAACGTCGTTATACCGTTAAGCAAGAAATAAGGAAGTTTCTACTCCGAGGCAATAGCCAAGGATATTCCAATCATGTCTGTTTCGTTCAGTACGTTTCGTATTACAATATTTTCACAAGAAAACAACAGTACACCCTTTTACGCATTATTTGTATCTTTCGAGAATGGATGGAACGTGGGGATATGCAGAATTGTGGTGGAATAATTGAGGAAGATAACAGAAAGTACATAAACAAACATGCGATATAAAAGGAAGCGAATGATTCGGCAAATGATATTCCAGCGTCAACGTTCACTCATGTGACCTGCTATTGTTGCCACTCCAGAGAGATCGTGCTAGGGGGCGTGGTCAGTGATTAACACGCACAAATTTTTCGCTTTTATTCCACGAACGTTGGTTAACTTTGTTATAGAGCCGTGGAACCACCTATTGTATTGTCATTCCGGTGAAGGAAAATGTTCACGGAAAAATATTTTGTAATAGTGATAGAATAGTGTGAAAGTATTTTTAAACTGTGTTCAAGATAAAAGTGAAAATTTTCTGTATGCTGTATTTAGTTAATATTTGAAGACTTTAGTACAGAAATGAAAAGTTCAACTAGCAGGAATCGCGTTAATTTGGCGGGCCTTTCGTCTGCTTCTTGAAAAGGTTATTTCCGAAGAACAAGCAAAATATCTACTAAATTCTTTACAACTGAAATATAAGAAATGAGACAAATAGGTGAATGAATAAAGCATGATTTGCATGTACTGAAGTATGTTTAAATTCGTGACTTTGGGATTAGATCAGCATGTGAAATGACTTGCTTGTATCATGAATACTGCTTGTCCGACTTGATGCACCTACTTTGTGGTATAATGTAGTTTTATTTTGATATATCATTTTATATATCTGTTTTAACAATGTACCTTTTAGTTTTTGCCTCTCGATCATGACAAAATAAGAGTAGAGAGTGCTGCTTGAGTAAGATTGTAGATGAAGGGAAACAATATATTCTTACATGCAGGTGGTTTCATCAAAGGTGCGAAATTATTATTCTCTCCGAGTCAAAAGAAATAAATGAGTATTAGGAGACTATGACAGCAAGGTGTTTCAGAAGTGGATGAAAAATTTCTACCTTGATTGTTAGAAACATTCATTTATGTAATGGACAATGCAGCTGTTCATTCTGTGTTGGTGAGTGATATTTTTCAACAATGGTTCTTTAAAGAATGTGAAAATCACTGATTAATGAAATTCATTTCATCCTTTTTAAAAATGATTATGAAACAGATATTGCTACTATACAATTCACTCACAAAAGTAGTTGTTTCAACATTATTTACATTACTATAAAGAGTAGAGTACAAAATGTATTAAATTCAATTGCGTTCAAGGAACTTATTGTAAAATCAGCAATACATTTTAATGGGACCTAATAGAATTTAAAGGTTGCTAATAGAGTGTATAAGAGCTTCTGAGACTGTAGTTCAGAGAAAGTTTTTACTGAAATAAGCATAAGTTTTATTTCAAAATATAATATTTTACTCATCCTGGCAAACTTGGCAGACTGTATTGTGAGCCAGTTAATAGTAGGTCATGGACATTTTAGGACATATGTTCTCAAAGTACTTAGGAAAGTAATTTCAATTTCATAAAGTTTGACTTGAAATAATCAAAGTGATTAAATTTATTAATCTTTGAAGTTAGTTGGTGCAACAGTTGTATCCTTCGAAGAAATCACAACACAAATCCAAGAGTATTATTTTTTTATTTATATATTTGCTTTTATGATACCTTTCAACCCATGACTTTCAAAATGACTTTTATTTGGAGACAATAAAGTTATTGAATGTATGAAACCTTTCAATTTCCATATCTTAAGTCTTTAATGTTCAATAGTGATAGTGAAAAGCATTAATCTTTCATAAATTAGAATTTATTATTGAACATCCTATAATATGCTTTTAATAACTAGTACATCCAAATAATTCATAGCACTTTTTAACCCATGGTGCACCAAATATAACTTTCAAGAGCTGACTGTTGGTTTTTCTATTTAAGAAATTCACTTAGAAGTTATTAATGTTTGGATAAACTGTGTGTATTTTGCCAATCAGTACTCAGAGAATGTTTACCACTAAACTTGAATATTTTTCCTCAAAGAAATCTTTTAACACAGTGTGAATATTTTCCAAGGTTGTATAATCAGTAGAACCCAAAATGTAATAAAATATTACGTTGCAATTAATGGTGGTCTCGTGTTATTTATACATGTCTAACATTTCAATGAAGCATTGCTTTACCTGTCGTGAATTGTTGAACAAATGAATTATAGTATTCAATTATTACCATCATTTCATAATTAACTAACCAAATCTGTCTGTCAATGATAAACAATTGAATGGGTGGAAACCAAAACAATATAAGTGACATTTTATAAATTTGGAGAAAATTATAGTTGTAGGCAGTTTCCGTGCCCATGTATTCATGATTTAATAAACAATTAAACTGACGTGGTTTTAGTAATGAAACAAAGTAACACGATTTTACAGTGATGTTGAATTAAATAAATAGTTTATCAGAATTTATAAAATGTCACAACCCTGTTCTGGTTTTCACCCATTTAATTTATCATTTAGTCGTAATGATCAATGAATAAAAATTATAAATATCAATTATTCTAATTGCAAAACATTATGCAGCACACATTAATTTGAAAGTTCTGAACATGCAATATCAAAACGTACCAACAGAATTGCGATAGTTTTCATAAAACCTACGTGCGGGATTTAGCAGTATACTCGTCATTCTCCTGGCTTAATTCATTCAGTCGCACATATTATCAACATCATTTGGAAATTATTTGTATCAATTTGTACAATGTTTTGTCATTAATTATAGCGGAATACAACAAATCTCTCGTGAAAACGAGATTTCTATCCTTCACATCATGAAAATACATTCAATTACAATCTCCAATCAGCTGATACTACTACTCAGCTGACCGGCTGAAGACGCGGAGAGTGATGCGGTCTTCGGCGACGCTCATTTGTTACAGACGCTGTCATTCATTAAATCGTTTACTGCCCTGAATGCTCTATACCCCAAAGACAACTAGATGTTACTCCTGACTTATTTACTAAGTTTGAGCTCCAAAGCGTATAATGCGACAATTATGCAAGACTCATTGTTCCTTCCATCCACCCATCCATTCATCCATCCATACTGACAGACACATCCCGATTTTCAAATGCAGAATTGCAAATCTCCCCGTCACCTGCAAAATCTTAACAATTTTTGGAACAGCATGAATATTTTAATCTTAACTTGGGAATGAACATACAGCTCAAAATAACGTTAGACAGGGATTTTACTACCAAAAATTCGAGATCGTGTTGTTGAGGTGATTCCAAAGTATGTTAATTCGAATGTCACTTTGTGCCTAACGTACGAAAATCCCAACGGCAACGACTCGAATTTCTAACCAATAGGATTGCGATTTTCATAGTGTTTCAGATTTATTGGGTAAAAACAACCGATATCGTTTGCCCGAGAATCATTTAAAACATGTCGTTTAGTAATTTTTGATGCCTCTGGTCTCCAAGACTAACCTGTAGCTTCTTTAGGATTTGCTAAATGGGTCTCTGCTGGGTCGGATTATTTTATAAGGAGACTGTACGTGCTGATGGCCTCTGCTGGATGGGGTCCCCCATGAAGAGAAATTTATATTTCATTTACATTAAACTAGTGGTGCTGCTACACAGCATACTTCCTCGCAATTTTACAATGTTATTATGTACGACTGAACGCCCATGAATGTTTCATAAATATAAATTACGCGTAAAATACTAACTTTTACAAAAATTGTACATGACCTTTTTTAAAAAGCTAATTGTGTACAACAGACTTTGTCTGAGGCAAAAATGTCTTATCTTCAATTTTGTAGTTAATATTGTTTTTTTGCAATTTTCGGAAAACTGAGCGATAACCGAAAAAGGGACTAACATCATCTTTCTTACCGTCTTCTAGTATTTAAGTGAAGAAAATTTAAAGAAAAAATTTGGAAGGCGTTTTGCGACAAAAATTTCTAAATTTCAAGCGCAAATTACGCAAACACTACTAGTTTTTTTGTTCAAAAAATATCATGACCTTTTTTAAATAACTATTTTTTTTAACAGACTTTGTCTGAGGCAAAAATCTCTCTTCAATTTTGTAGTATTCATTTTTTTTTGCTTTTTTTAAAAAATCGGGAATATCAACGAAAATGAGACATGCACAAAAATTTAATAAAAAATGTGTTGCAATTTTTTTTGAAAATGTCAAAGGGGTTTCATGTAAAGTACCTTCAAAATTAAAATACCGGTTTCAAATTCCAGGGTCCGCGACATCAGCCAGAAAGATTGGGGAATATCAATTTTGGAGAAAATCGGCTGAACAGTTTATGCGCTAGCGTTGTGCACGGACAGAGAGACACAGACAGACAGAGAGACAGACAGGCAGGCAGATACAGACGGACAGATACAGACAGACAGATATAGATAGATAGGTAGACAGACAGTAGACAGACGGACATTTGGCCATCAATCGATTTTTCGGTATGAAGGACGCACTAAATATGGATTCTTGCTGCACCGCGTGTTAGAGCTTTTTTTGTCTGTATTTAGCAACTGGATGTGTCCACTTTTTTCATTACTAGGGTTCGGGCATAAGAGTTTTTGTGTCAAAAATTCGCCGTTTTCTGGCGCACAATTATGTTTTCTTCTTACGTTAGTAAGTGCGAGGAAGTAAAAATATATAAAAAAGAATTTTAATGTATTTTATTAATATCAGATTCTTTACGATACGAAACTGTATTTAACTCAAATTAGGAATTAAAAAACAAATTCGCACCCAAAAAGTCTCAAAATTATTTATTTAATGAATATAAACCTTATTTTTTGTAATATTTTTTAGTTGCATAGGGTACAGTTGTATTTACGAATTCGTTTTGATTACTCATCCTTACATAGAAATTGTGTGACCTCCGGGCGACCTTCAGTCACTCACGGTTAGATCACACAGTTTTCGCAATCGAGACAAATGATGTGTCGTTCGACGCGTTTCGATCTCGTGAAGGGGCACTGATATTTTTATGTTGATCCATCCAGAGGATTCTTAAAATATTTCAAATATGTTGTAAGGGGAGGCAAACAAGAGAGAGGTTTGGTGTATGAAGGAAGGAAGAAAAGAGGAAATGATACATTTGAAAAAGGAGGCAATAACTGGAGGCAAACGTGTCTGACGTCAGTAATTATAATATGGTATGATAACGATGTATAAGAAAGTCCAAGTAGCATCGTCAACGATAATTTTATAATAGGTATCTATAATATCAGGTTTCAGTACAACTTCGAGTACATTGAGGGAACGGCAGGGCCGGATTAAGCTTGAAGTAGCTAGACAATTTTTTCGTGGTCTTCAGAAAAAAAATGTATGACAACTTTAAACTGTAATTATTAGACTTTTTTGGGATTAAGAAAAACGGTAATTTAGGGTAAAACAGATAGCACAATTGATTCGAAATTTTCGTTGTCTTAAGTTACTGAAATGTCTTATGTTACCATGTTACTATGTCTATTACTTATGTCTTATGTTACTATGTTCCTGGTACTCCTTTTTTGAGTTTTATTTTTTTGCGCTATTTTACAAACGTATGTTTTTAATGAAACGTTGTGTATATTGCAATATATAAATTATTGCTTTTTTAAAGATTGAAAATCGATAATGTTGAATATAAGTGATTTATTTATTGATAGTTCCGAAATAAACGTAAAACAAATTATCAGGAGGCTCTGTTGTAGGACTCCCATGTTCCTAAGCCCTAGGCGCTGTGCCGAAAGTGCCTACTGATTAATCCAGCCCAGGGAAACGATGTGAATTACTGTACAGTCTTTCTGACGTTTTAAAGGAATTGTTACGACTTATATCAACAGACTGATGAGGCGCCACGCAATGCCAGTATTCCTTAATTTAGTATTGTGTGTGCGCGTGTGTGTGTGGGGGGGGGAGGCGAATTTTACTCGTACTTAGGCCTTGAGATGCCAATGCGGTCCCGCGCTCCTGCACTTACCCATTCGACGATCTTGAGCGCGAAGCCCAAGGTGCAGAAGCGCGTCTCGTAGTGGGCGGGCGGATCTTCCTCGTGCTTGGACTTGAGCAGGGTGCCGGTGCCCGAGAACCAGGTGGCGGTGCTCGTGGATGTGTCTTGGCTGCGAGCAACAGAACGGACCCGTTCAGTTGGAATGTTGGACGTTAGCGTCAAAAACTGTTTACTATGTGTGATTCTTGAGCAGTTTGTTGGAACGGTTAATTATGAAGTTGCTCCTCTTAAGGCAACAGGTTACGGGATTGATCACAAAACAATGATAAAGGAATTTATAGGCAGAATAATTGAGGTTATATTATTAATAATAATAATAATAATATTCATTTGTATGACGAGTCAGATGTGAATAATGCGGGTGCACATATTTTCTTCAGTTCCAGATTCCCTACTCTGTCTTGTTACACAATTTTGAGGGACGGTAGAAAGTAGCATTTTAATATAAGCAAAGCCCATCTCTGTGTGATAGAACTGCATGAGCAAGCGACATTCAGATTTGATTTTGAATACACTGCTATCAGATAATTAACCCTCCGCTCCTCTCGTGTCTAGCAAAAGAGAGCTTAAGATTAAAATTAAGTTGAAATGAGGTTAAAATGATTATTGATTCCATATAAAACGAGTTCAGTGCGACAAATTCAAATCGCCTATAAAGTTATGAAATCGAATCACTGTCAACATGAGATTATCACTGGTAATGCGCGATACTTATCTGCTGTGTTAATTCATAATGAAATCTATGGTAAGTCGTAGACCTGAATTACGACGTAATTTTTGAAAGGGAAATGTGATGCTATCGTAGGTTTTTTTGAGATAGAAATTCTGAATTGTAAATGGTATTTTCAAGCGATCTTAATGTACATTTGTAGATTTGTAATGTCATAGAGCTCTAATAAAAGTGGGTGCTCAGGTGAAAACCACCAGTGAATGATGAGCCAATGCACAGTAATTTATCATATATAATGTTAATGCATGTTTTGTATATCAACGTAAACCGGGCTTTCCGGTTGACTGGATGAATCGATATACTCGTAGCCTTCGACATAGCACCTTTACCCGTAAGGTTGCATGTCTGAATCCCATCGTGATATAGGGTAGTTTTTCGTCGCTTGTCTTTTATGTCAATTGCGAGTGCATCAGGTTATCACACGAGTCTCTGAACTTTTAAGAATATGTTATAGATAGCTATCAAACAAACAAACAAACAAAATTGTTTCCATTTCTACCGAACTTGCACAATTACCTTTTTTCACCTCTCCGTGCCTCAGCCAAAAGCCCTTCGACGACACTTACCTGAAGGTGCGCGTGAGTGTTTTGATATTCCAACTGGGAGTTCGTGGTTCCGCGGCGGTCTGTCTGTCTTCGGGGTCCGAAGTCGAACCGCTGCATGCTGCCATGGCCCCGAGTGCGACCCGCTTGCTACGGCCCTGTGCTGGGGTTGCTTCTGCCATGCGCACCACCCGGCCGACTCGTATCTCACCGCAACGTCCGTCCTGTATGCGGCGCGCTTCCGCCGACCGCGTGGCGGTACTGAGAAGACAATCGTCGCACTTGGAAGGACAGCGGGTGAAGCACGTCAGTGACATTTTCTTTTCCTTGCCCTCTCCCAGAAAAAAATCAAGTGAACAAATACTGTGAACACACGGTGAGAATTTCGAGATAAACGTGTTTTTTTTCGCTTGACGTTGGAGTTGATGTGAAGGTGGAAATGTTTTATAACATGTAGTGCATTTTTAGTTGAACCAAACAGGATTGTTTTCAAAAAAATGTCGAAAATTGACGAACACCTCTGTTGATAGAGGCTACTCTGTTACTTCAAATTTGGCGCTACGCTTCGAACAGCTCAGTTTCGCTGCTCTTTGAAAGCATTTAAGAAGGAACAACTTCATGCCTCGGAGATAGTTTTGCTCAGAAAACCTCGCGAATTCTTTCTCAATTGACCAAATACTCATTTTTGTACAAATCTCTTTGAAATCGTTGTTCAACAGTTTCGGAAAATCACTAATAACTTGCTAATCTTATAAATCACTTGCACCACCTGCTGGGCGGCCGCGACGAAGTTGCCCATTGTCAGGTTTTCTGTAATCCAATTTTTTTCCGCATCAGACACGACGAGCTCGCATTGTTTGAAAATCAGAGAAACCGCGACCATTTTTGTAAAGATCTTGCCAAGGAGCTAAGCAATACGAATATGCGGCGCATTGAAAGTTTATGGTGCGTTGGCAGCAAGCAATTATCGCGTAGTTTCTTTGAACCAACGTTCGTGAGACGCGGTGCGAAAAAGTAGAGGCATGAATGACGTGAAATTCGTAAAGAGAACATTTATTTTCGTCCAGACAGAGGTAACCATAACAATCTCTTCAATACTCATCGATTCTTATACCAAAGTAATAATCTATTTCAATTATGTGTCGCTTTTTTCATAGAACTGTTTCGTCTGATGAGAACACGGAGGCGATGCACTAAACTTCTCGTTGCAGTTTCTGCTAATGCTCTCCCAATTTATCTAAGGAATATTTCGTAGCCTCAGCACCCTCTATTATGCTCAACCCACAAGTACTTGATAGTTAGATTGTAGTTGATGTATTTGTTAAAGTTGGGTCGAAAAGTGAAACGAAATAAGGTCAGAGGTCTTGAAAGATGTGAAGCAGTTGAAAATATTGTTGAATATATGTGAAAATGTCTGTAAAATGCTATATGCAAAATATTACTTTTCTCGTGTCGTCATTCTTATGCCATTAGCGCTGTCGCACAACCGCTGTTCTTAGCTTTCAGTTGTATGAAACCAATTGTTTCTGTATTTAAGAAAAATAAATGTGCATTGAGATGTTTAATGTGAATTGCAGTGAACTGTATCCTGAAAATCCTGTACATCCGTACGACGTAGCTGTCTAGCCAGTGTCGAAAATCCTGCCATCATCTGGATTCTAACGCAGGTCCTCTCAGTCAGAGGCACTGCAGTGACTTCAGTTGATATCCTGAGCCACCTCTACCGTTGTATAGTGTTGTACGTATACCAGTGTAATTCGCCAAAGAGTGTATTTATTTCATGGGACGACCTGAGGCATCAGTAAAGGACGTGTGCGCTTGAAACATCACATTATCCCGTCGTCTTAAACAAATATAAAAAATAACATTAATTCTTTCCACAGTAGGAATAGGGTTGCATATTTCTAAAATGATACATCCGTAAAATTACTTATTATTTTATTCGATTAATAATTGACAGTATAGTCAAAATGATAATGATGATCTTCGGCTCAATTTCAATTACAGTTTCACATATGTTTATTTTATTTGTACATTCGTGAAATTTGTTAATCTTAATCTTATATTTTATCTTTTTTATTTATTCCACTTTTTACAGTTATTTAACAAAATTAATATAAAAACAATACTTAAAATACATTATTTAGTTTTATATATATTTGTGATTCGTAGAAAGTAAGGAAGTAAGGATGTAAACTGTAAGATGGAAAGATGGTAAGAAGGAAAGTAAGATGGAAACTGTTAATTTTAGATTCTTGTAGCGTATACAGTTTTTTATACAGCTTTTATGTCATGCCTGCGGACAACTGTGGCGGTAAGGCCACCGCCCAATGCAACTGCGAGCCCACGGTTGCCACCGGCGCTATGCACAGCACTTCTGGTCTGGGAGGACTTGGTTCGTAGAGGGGATGCAGAAGGACCCGGGAGCGAGATGAGGGAAGTGACCCTAGGCAAAACCTGTCGCATTTTCCCGGACACTGCTCTGAATCCAGTTCTTTGGGCAGACCTTAACAATGGTCAGGCAATGAACAGCCCTCCGCCGAATTCGCTAGTTTCGTAAGCGATCGCCGTCAGTTGAGCATCCGCATGGTGCGCCGGTAGGAGAAGACGACGTCGCTCAGGTAGACGACGGAGGCGACGAAGGACAGCAGCACCTGCGCCACGAAGCAAATGCGCCGCCGCGGGATGGACGTCACCGAGAAGCCCAATTCGTCCGTGTCCCCCTCCTCTATCATGCCCTGCGCACACAATGCTTCGGTTAGTGGATCCTTGTGCTGTTTGAGTAGAAGCCATTCTTTTTTTTTGGATTAAAATTTTATATTTTAAAAAAAATATGAATTTCATGTTAATGTACTCTCCAGAATTATTTATTTATCCACCATTCAGCAGCAACAGTAGCGTATCTTACATTACAGTATTCCACCAACAAATGGCAGAAGTGTGTATGCGAGAATTATTTTTATTTTCATTTTTTTTCATATACACGGAAGTTTTTAGTAATCTTCATGGTTGGAGACCCTAGTGGTGCAGTTTAATGAGTACACGATATAAAATGCCTTTGGCGTTCTTAGGAATCATAAAAAAGTAGAACGATTTGTTTTTGCCCATCTTACAAGAGCTCAGAACACTGTGATCAAAAGTATCCGGACACGTCCAAACTGGTGTTATGATGTGTTTTCATGGAGAACGCTTGCACCCTTGTTATTTTGTGTGGCACTAACACGGCCTACATTGATGTTTTATACACCTTCTTGCTTCCCACTGTTGAAGACCAATTCGTGGATTGCACCTTTCAACACGATCGAGCACTTGTTCATACTGTGGCCGAGTGGTTACCCGACAATTACATCCCTGTAATGGACTGCCCTACACAGAATCTCGACTTGAATCCTGTCGAACACTTTTGGGATGTTTTGGAACGCCGACCCCGTGCAAGGCCTCATCGACCTATATCTATACCTCTCCTCAGTGCAGCACTCCGCGAAGAAAGGGCTGCCATTCCCCAAGAAACCCTGATTGAAAGTATGCCTGCGAGAGTGGAAGCTGTCATCAAGGCCAACACTATTGATTTCCAGCATTGCCAATGGATGGCTCCTCGTACTGACAATCATTTTCTGCCTCGTGTCCGGATACTTTTGATCTCATAGTATAGTATATCGTGACCCATGAACGAGAGGCAATCATAAAAGGTTTTCGGTTTTATCTTCGGTGCTCAAGAAAATATAACTCGTCTCAACGCATGTCATTTTACAAAATAACTGTTTAAATATGAATGAAACCGTTTATTTCGCGCCCAAGACGAAGTTACTGTTAGCTACCGATTGTGCTATGATCTACCTTTATGTTCATTTTTCAAGTAAAAACATTTTATAAATTCATTCTTCACTTGACTCGTAAAAAATATTTTTGAAAATATTTTTGTAAATATTTTTCCGAATTAATTTTATTGTTGGGTTTTTTCTTCCACAAGTAATTATCATTAAACTGTTTCACTCACTGAATTGTTCACCAAATTCTTTGTGATCGTATGAAGTCGCCATTTTAGTCATGTGAATAATAACATACTTGCTATTTGCGAGAGGAATGCGAAAATTAAGCCACCTTTTCTAATCTTTAAAGCATGCTTGAAATTGCTTTCAGTATATTGGATATTGATATTGGATATTGCTTTCAGTATATTCAGGATATTGACATCTAAGAAAACATATGTTTCGAGATATTCTAATGAATTACTTCAAAAATAAATTATTTTGGAGGATTTGTTTAAAATATTGCTTGGCAAGCGTCGATGTGTATATTAGTTCTTTTCTTTTAAATAACTACACTTAGCTAGTGTAAGTATTACATTCACTCAAAAGTATATTTTTCTGTAAGCAATGGCGTTCAATACATTTTCGTGAGTCTGAAAATCTGGTAAAGATTTTTTGTCGCATTTTTGTGATGGAAGATTTGAAAAAGGAATGCTCATTACTACAGCTCTATAATTATTTATATTAAATTTGCGGTTAATATGTTTTAAATTTACATTTATTCTAGTATTTGACACATAGGTTTTAATACTTCAGATACGATGGAACATGAATACGTATATAATAAGTAATGTACCTACTATATTCTAGAAATTACGGAGTAGCGACCTCCTTTTGTCTCCCAGTGGAACCGGCATCTGTCTCCTGCATATTGTGTTATACTCCGATTTATGTAAAGTAGCTGATGACATTTGGTCATTGTTACACTTCCTGCCTTATAAAATGTATATTTTAATAGTAGTAAATGCATTTCTAAAGCCTAGAGCCCTGTTTAGAAGGACGTTCGCGAATTAATTAAAAATATTCATTTTATAAAGCAGGAGATGTAACAAATACCTAATTGATCGGCCAGTTAAAAAAATTGAACTATACTATTCAGTTACGTGCTCGATTGTTGCATTACTTTGTTCTCGTTACTGTTAACCAATGTGAACGATTTTCATCTGCTAGAAACTATTTTAAGGTGGTCAGGGAATATCAGAACGTGAGATTATTGACAAGTTTTATTTATTTTCTATATTAACTAGATTTCTTTTTCCCTTTTGAAATATCCTTTAAAAATTGTCACTGATTAATCAATTGGCACCCATTGATTTTCGATGAATTTCTTTTCGAAGTATTATGCACAGTTTGGGGTTTATTTATCTGAGTTTCTTGACAATGATACGGTATTGTCGTTTACATAACTATTGACATGTTGACGGACGAGGGGAGCCGAGTTGCGTGCATTATTTTTTTTTAAATTAGAACTTCTCTTCCGATCATTCTCAGTATGCGAAGTGGCAGCCATGTTGATTCATGACGGCCCATTGTTATTTTATTTACTTTGCAGTACAAAATTGTTTTCCGTGGTATGATTTCTGTGCCGTACCCGTAGGCTAGAAAAATAATTGTGCCGTATGCCTATCGCAAAGTAACACTTTTCAATAAATAAACAGTAGTATAGATGCATGTGTGCTGAAACATATTTAATTTACTGTTATGTTATAACTCGTTATTCTTCGATACGGAATTCGATGTACACTGCTAACTTACCACGATCGAGAGGATCGTGGTGATTAGGGAAATATGAAAACAGTTGAATGATGCTACATCGTATCTTACAAAGGGAATTATGGGAGGGAAATATGAGAAGACAAACAGAGTCCACTTAATTATTAAATAAATCAACATCAATAAACTTTCGTAAAAAATGAAATTATGGACGGTATGCACTACAGCCGTTAACTGATTCTAATGATCTCGTTCGGACAAAACCTTCTTCGAGCTAAAGGCCCTCGGGCATTTTGTCACCGCTCAATCATTAGAACCCTTACAAAACCCTTGTTCCATAAATAACTATTAAATATTCGTACCTCCCAGTTATCCCAGAAGACATAAGTGCGGTTGGCCGTGTGTATTCCTGAGATAAGGAACAGCAAGCCTCCCATCGTGCCAAAGATTCGCATCTGGAAGGGAATTTGTGTTTAAAATAGACATTAACTAATGCTGTAATGGGCATGCAAAGCGCTTAAATTAATAGTAGTAGATATTATAATACTATAAAAGATTTTCACAATCGCGTGCTGTAAAAACACGTTTGAATTTAACCTTAAAACTTGAACCTTAGTTCTACGTTGATGAGTGTCGTCCGTATCTACTATTCAAAATAATGATATTTTCATTCTTTCTCTTAAAAGTGAAAATCTCTCTTTCTCGATACTTTTCTACACGAAATACTATTGACTGGAACAGAGATGTATAAAGTACATCACTAGACATATTTATAAATCAAACATATTTTCAAGAACCCAAAGCTGTCCAATGAAGAGGAATGTGTAATTTTATCATATAGTTCATACATCCCATATAGGGTCTCTCCTGCTTAATTTCAGTCCATCGCGAATTTAAACTGCTTAAATATGGCATTTCAGCGTGAGATTGTGTTTGCTCATTGTTCTCGAATGTAACGAATGACACATTGTTCTTTGGGCCGCATCCGCCTACGAGTTGTTTTGAGTTCACTGATGTGGAGCCTAGCGCTATCTGATAAGGTCTGTTTAGAGGTCCAAGAACAAACCGCGCATTCTCACGAGGCTTGGAGAGACATGCCGCAGAGGAGCGTAAAAGTAACTACCTTCCGGTCATTCCCCCCGCCACCCACTGCCCCGCCCCGCCCCGCTCCGTCTCGCCCCGCCCCTGTCATCGTCTTCGCTGTTACCCCACTCATGCCCCAACACCTGAACATGCCCCCGTACCCGTCAATGGCCCCATGCTCTCACCCTCGTCATTTTATTCGCGAAGACGTCTGCTGTTGCCTCCCTCACCGTAACAGCTAGTGTCCACACCTCCACTTCCGTTCCCATAGCCATCATTGAACCGTTACCATCTCCCCCATTCTGCCATCATCGCCGTCAGACCAGTGCATTAGCCGCAATGACAAAGGGTGCTTGGCCAGCAGAGGTGGGAGTGACTTTGAGTGCTCGGAGTTGGTAGAATGGCAACGCGATCGCAGCTGATGCCGAAGTGGCGGCAGCAGCGACTTGGAGGCAGTGCTGGTCGTGAGCGGTCGTTGGCGTTGTGTCTCGTGTCAAGACATGCTTACCAGCAGCTCCCGCATTTTCATTCCCATGATGTAGCCCAAGAGAATGACGCCGGTGATGAGGGTGAAGGACGAGAACACGATGAAAGGGAAGTGCATGGCGGTGACGTTCTGGTTTACCTCTAGCCGGTAGCCGTCGGAGAGAAGTATCAGGCACAGCACTGTGAGTCCCTGCGTCCAAAAATTTTTCCCTGCAACCACTTCCACCTACTATCAGTTTCTGCAATTTAAGTACTCAGTAATCTTCAAAGTTTTTTAATTTCAGTTAAATGAGTAATAGCAAAATATATTGCAGAAATGTGTAGTTTCTATGTATTTATTTAATATTTACTTATACATTAATCAAACATTTCGTTCAAATTTTTGCATTAAAATTAGTAAGATCTAGATCTGAGATAATCACTGGATGAATTCATACGATGAAATTGTTTGAAAGCTGAGAATTCACAATTCTTTAAATTAAATATTTTTGTCATTTTATCGCCTAAAAAGGTTAATTACAAATATGTATGTGTTACAAGAACACATCTTGTTCAAAGCTGCAGTTATGGTGCTAGCTAACTCTATTGGCTCCGCGAAGAAGTATATTGACATTTCATTTCCATTTTTGAAGGGAAAGAACATTACACTAAGAATGAAGAAAATTGGTCTTTGCATGTTTTTTAAGATTAGAATTACACTGAAATCTTCGAATTATGCATACGAAAAGTATAGCTAAGGTATATTCAAGTGAATTATTATCAAAACGAACACCTGTGAAATATGACTGTTAGTGCAGATAACCGAAATCTCTTACTAATTAAATTGAAGTAAAAATATTTGTTAATGTGTTTGTTCCGGGTTGGCCATGAAAATCCCATTTAAATGTTTTAACGATTTTTTAAATGATTGCAGATAACATCAATTAAATTTGAGTTTTCAATGAATACTTCGATTCATACAATTTTAAGTTTTTCATATTATTTGTAATCGCAAGAAATGTATTCAAACAAGGAAAACAAGTCAAGTACAAAATAAACTGATCAGAAAGTACTAACTTCTTTTGCTATTATTGACAACTCCCATTTCATCACAACAAACAAATACATAGACAACCGAAGTACAAAATAAACTAACAGGAAAATACAAATCTACGTGAAATTTTACAACATACGTTTACTTTATTACCCAAACGTAGTAATATCAATGAAAATTTATGTTACAGGTAATGATTAAATCAGTTTTAAATCTTAACATGCGGGTGAGGGTGTTCTTGGACGTACCATATTATATAGTGAAGTGTGTGTGTGTGTGTGTGTGTGTGTGTACATATATACTTCACAGGACGGAATGAATTTTGGTGTATTTGTTCCAATTATAAAAACCAAAAATGTATGCGAACAAAATAAAACAAGAATTCTTCAATTAAATACAAAGAAAACACACACACACACACACGAAAATACCCTCTGAGCTGGCCTTTTTTTTAAAACGTGTTTTTTCCAACCCTGGTTTTGTTGGTCAATGGACAGTTGAACACGGGAAAGCGACCGCCGCCCACTTACGAACTGCGCGATCTTGAAGCTGACGCTGTGCGCGCTGGCGGCGCCGCCCTGCCCCGAGTGCTGCTGCTGGACGACGTCGCTGTAGGCCGGCGGCGGCTGCTCGCCAGCGATGTGCCGCGGCCCGTACACGCCCGGATCCATGCTGCGAACGCATAATGCTTGATGGAGTGGTTACTGATCCCGGGCGCATTGCTAAGGTCATTAGGACCGTCAGTATGGTACATGTTTTTATCTCGGGAAGTGACGGTGATCTTCCCTTGCTGGATGGTGAGATCCGGCGCCAACCTTCAAATCGTCGCAACTGGCTGCTGGAATTCTCCTCGAGACAACGGTTGAATTCTTTCTAGAGGCTAATATCCTGCCACCTTCGAGATTCGAATCTGAGGTCCTCCCGTTCAGAGGCATTGCAGTGACATCATTTGATGCACTGTTGACGGTGCGAACGCACTACGGGTTGTTTGTATGTCCAATGTATAAAATTTAGGTTGGATGCTCCAATTTACTCAAATTAATAATAGGGGGTTTTGATCGCCCCCAGGTAGTAATCCCAGTCCTTTCGGATTGCACTAATGCACCGTCAATGTGGTATCCGATTACACCGGTAAGCAACACTGTATCCAGAATTTGTCCACACTTTAGTCTAGATTGGGCCTAAGGCCAGCTCCAGCAATCCTAGTTGGTGCTGGAGTCTAAGAGCTCCACTCCATATCCTGGGACAAGGCCCACTTAATCTTCCCATGAGTACCAGACATTGCTACAACAAACCCTACATGTTCAACTGCGGACCACCCAGGCGGATTGGAATCCTTAACATATCTCCTCATTACGCTCACCTTATCACTGTTAGTATTGCAGGGAATCTAGGCAGATTTCAGTTCCCTGCCTGGATTTGTGTAAGTGGAACCACAACCCAAGGCTGTGGATCTAATCTCATCCCCTCGCCGCTGGAATACAAAAGTAAGAATTCTCCTCGTCAGGATAATTTGGAGCGGACTTTGCATGGAGAATGTGATATATTCATTTCAATATTGTATCCTGAAGTAAACGATACCATGTAAGCAATTTTCAAGGCAAACAATTATAACAAGGGCAATGATTTCATACCCTTGATAATCGGTCATGCGTTGACCTTAATAATGATAGTGTGTGAAGGTTAAATATGCTTTGTTTATTTTTCTATGATGGTCCCCGATGATCCGGTCTACGTACAAACTTCATTTATTTTTGTTGCATCAAGTTCACTAGCTTATAACCAGTTAAATGTGGAGTATGACGTGGGCAAAGGGTTCGCGACATGTTTTCTCATGGTACTCCCGAGTCTCTTGCGTGTCCTGCGTCTTGATCTACCTTTGCTCTATTATCATTCAAACTCATATCATCATGGAGCCCCCACAAGGGCTCGAGGCATAGATCCAGGGGGGCTTTATTTCTTACAAAGAGTCTCCTCTCTTCCAGTACATAAACAGAATTCATCTTCTCGTGCACCAGAAAGAACTTATGGCGGTTAATTTGAATTACAAGTAAATACATTTTAATGTTTTGAATAAAGAAATCGGAAGCCTGATTAAGGCGTGGCCTAAAGTAAGTTGTTCCCCCGACCCCCTTTGGGGGCCCCTGTCACCGCCCATCCGTCAAAACCATTCGATCTCGGGTTTCGCCGAAGAGGCTATATACTGATGATAAGTAATAAGGATATATTACATCACTGCAGTGGTTAAAATTGCTATAAACGGTTTAAAAACTGTAATCTTGGTATTTTCTTCCTCATTGGTATCTTAAGAAACGTAATTCAGCCTTTATAAACATCTATTATGTGTGCTATACTGTAGTAAACTGATTTCCCCTTTCATTTATTTCAACACAATGTCCAACTCCATGTCCATGAAGTGGAGCCCACACTTTTGTTGCCTCAGGTTCAATCACGTCTAGCCACTTACTACGAAAATACTCCTTGCGTTATTAAACGGAGAAAAGGTTGCGTTATAAAGGCGTCTGTTTCGCAGTAGCCTTCGGCTGGCGTCCTTGCCGGGCGGATTCCGTGGACGGCGAGAGCCTGGGCGGAACGCGCTGAAGAGCGCCTCAGGAAGGGGCAGCGGATTCTCGCGGTTGCGGAAGTGCCGTCGCTGCTCGTCGCGCTCGTCGCTCGTCGTTCTCAGCGCCCGCGGGTTCCCTTCGGCATAAAGCGCTGGCGTTCTCTCGAGAGGAAGTGACATGCGCACCATTGTCAGTTTGCCCGGCTCAGTCTTTTGTTCCTCCTGGCATATTCCTTTGCAAAGCGGAATGACGTGTTCTGAAGAGTTCGTTGGCTTTCAAAGTGGTGCTTGATAACTTATTAGTGCTTAAAAATCTAGTGCGCGTATTAATAATAATAATAATAATAATAATAATTATTATTATTATTATTATTATTATTGTTGTTGTTAATTTATCAGAGCAAATGAATGTGAATCGATCTTTTTATTTTTAATAAATGGTATGTAATTAATAGTGTGACATGAACACGAGAGTAATTTAAGTGACTTTTGCCTACGCAGCGGCTTGCCGCCGCTTGCATCGTAATGTACGACGCAATTTAACGTTTTGAATTTAAAAAATATACTTGTATGCCTCGTATCTTCATGATGAACCAAATCAAGATGAGCATGACTTTTTATTAGTCAACCATGTTTTCCGATTTTGAGTTGTCTTTGCAGGATTTTTTGTGCCTATCCTATTTGTTACTATCCATTCCGACGCGTCCCAATTGTTATTAAAAAATGACCAAAATACTTACAATGTACATATTTAATAGACAAACAGTCGACTGTGCAAGGGTTGAAATGTAAAAGGTTATTTATTTCTAAAAATCCAAGGAAATGTCCTGTTAGCAGACCTGTGAAGAGTGAATAAATAAAGTACATTTAGGAAAGATATACACAGTCACTCGAACTCTAGGTTATTATAGAATAACGAAAAACTTTAATTTAATGAATGTTCGTATGTTTGGCGAAGACAATTGAATGTGCAATGGGCGATTTCACAAACATATTAGAAGATAACAATATTAGGAATTTGGAAAAGGGAAAGGTAACTGAATTTATTATTTGGATTATAGTTAGAAATTATTGCAATGAAGAAATTAAGGAAATCTAAAGACATCTCAAAATTGAAATGTAAAAATGTTCAGAGAGTTTGACAGAAGAGGAGCTGTCCTTTGTTTTCAACTGCGCGGTGAAGAAGAACGGGACTACAATCTATATGAACAGACGGGTTGGCCATCTTGAGTGATAGCATTAAGGCGGAAGTCGAGTCTTTGATTTTTCATGTGGAAGTTTGTTTTGAAGGTGGTAGATATCGAGAAGTGATGCTCTTAGTAGGAGTGTATTAATTCGCGAGTGGTTCAATTAAGAATTGAAAGAAAAGGAAAGTAACCGCGACGAGAGGACGCAGATACTCGCAGCGGTCGGAGACGGCGCCATTACGAGGTCCATCAACCTTGGAGGTGAAACAGTTTTGCCAAACGATTTTATAACAAGGGTAAGACTTGTAATTAATTAAGTATTATGTAGTAAATGGCCATTAGAATCAATTTTGTTTTCATAAGGAGTGCAATCGCGTGAATAGTTAATGTTATTGGGATTGATTCTTTTTTGACTCTCTACAGTTTAGTTTTTCCAACTCTAAAAATATCTTCTAGAGCTGAAATTGTTAAAAAAGATTACAACTTCGTAATCTTCAGTTTATAAATATGAGAGTCTCGGTTATCACGTGATACTTTATAGAAGTCGTACTGCTAGATACTGCCCAAGAAATAATTTGCCAATAGATAAGAAAATGTGCGCAGATAATCTTTCCCCTCTACGTCACATAGTCTTTAGTGTTTTATTTCGACTGAATAAATCTAAATCTAGATCATTTAAAGTATTTTTTGGAGGTTCTTCACCGTGGACGACCTTACGAACATATTACTTTGAAGTTTTGTTTTCATGAGCTTCGTTTGAGGCGGTGTCAGTAGTATATAAAAAGGCAGTAAAAAAGTAACTTAATATTACAAATCGTAGAATATTCGTAATTTAATTAATTCTTTAGTAATAGAGTTATTTGTTAACTGTGTATGTTGTACTCTGAGCAACCGATAAGAAATCTGAATACAGATGGAAATAAGCGTGTGTGCAAAGAATTGATATTATTCCCCCAGCGAATTCGCACAGTTTTGGCAACGTACCGCTGGCAACAGTGTTGCTCTCTTCTGTATAATTTGCTGCGAATACTCTATCAGTCAAATATATTTGTTTGTTTCATTTGTCAAAGTAATAAATGATTGTTTCTCCTGACTATCGAAATGAATGTAGTTATGTATCACAGGTGATTAGAACATCACATTAGAATTGGACGTTTTCAAGTTATAGCTGAGGTGTTAGTAGCGCAGAAAATGCAATACTCTAATATTACGTAGCTGTTTCCAGTGACGTGAGAAAGTATGTGCTGTTGAAGTACCACTAGTTGCAAAGGGAATATCTGTTGAATGCGATGTATAAAGAATGGTGATTCAGTGACATATGTAAGTGACATATTTGCATGTGTCAATGACATATGTAGATGGGTTAAGTTAATGTAAAAAAAACAATTTGATTCGGCCAATTTCACTCGCTTTGCTCGTGCATTTCCAAGTCCACGGCGAGTCGGCATTTTCAAGTCCGATCTTCTATTAACCCCAGCATTATCTGGGAGAGGGGGAGGAGCTCACAAATCCACCGATGACTGTCAGTTTTTCAACATGTTTAATTTTTTAAAGTTTGATGAAAATAATTTATATTGTTTACGACGCTCATATTGTTCAAAAAGTGATGTAATATGTCCCACTTTTTGTTAGAATTTGAGTTATTACAGAGACTTCGGCTATGAATAAAAAACGGAGTTATTCTCGTGAAAACTGGAAATAACTTATATTTGAGTAATTGTTACAGTATTTTAAGTCTTAATAAAATAGTTTTTGCTTTCCTGTGTTAAGTGTCTTGGAAAAAAGAATCTAATAGGTTTTGTCAGTAAATAAAAATATTTATGCCAGCAAGTCGATTTCTTTTGATTTTCAGATCTTGAAATTGAATAATATATTTTTTTTAAATGAATACAGATGCATATTATTACCTTATATCAATGTATTATTTTCGCAAAATTGTGACAAAAGATCAATATAATCAACATTTTTAGCTGTGGTTTTCAAAGACTGGTAGTGGACGGGATTATTTATACCATGGTTTGCGCGGGTTAAGTGAAACCTATATAAGTCCAGCCAATACAAAATTTCCAACGTAATTTAAGACAAAGAACTGATAAAGCTTATTTAGAACCGCTTCCTCCGCGAAACTACTAATAAATAATGCGTACTTAATTAATTACACGTGTTCAGTTCTTCATATTCAATTCCACACGTGATTCCGTTATCCATATTCTTAAGCTGTTTGAAAACAAAACAAATCCTGGCGTGCGGTAGCGCCAAAGACGTTGGAGTAGAATTAAACTGGACTCACTGAGAGCGCTGCTGTCGCGGATTAATTTGAAGGACACCATTGTAGTGGAAACATACATACCTCATAGTCATCTTGGCGACTGTGATAGGACTAAGTTATGTACTTGTATAGAAAAACGATAAGTTATTTTCGGTGCGTGTATTATTTAACTGCATGAAAATGTACGTGATATAATATGGTAATAAGGCTTGTCCGGCATATTAAGTGCACGAACAAATTCATCGTTCCAAGTTGCAATTCAGGGTACAAGTTCGCAAAGTTTGACTCTTGAGAACGAAATATTACGAGGAGTACATCGGTGTTGCTTTTTCATCATTAATTATTTGTAAATAACTTTTGTGTGAATACTTGCATATCTGTATTAAATAAAAATGGCAGCTGGCGTAAAATACGTGTATCTAAACATTATCTATATTCAGCTAATGTTTTGGTTTTTCATTTTATATTTTTATTTATTACACTCATACCAAAACCAAAGATAATGATGAAAACGAGCCCAATTGAAGTGTCAGATTTGATTCCCGCGCCCAAATTATCCACTACAATGTCAAACATGGCCCCTTTCAATTTATTCTGTCCTGAACTATCCGTCCACGGAGTTGTGGGGGCCCAGCGTACCTGAGCGTCCTGCTGAAGGCGGGGGGCAGGCGCGGGTGCTTGGGGGTGCGCGGCGTGGCCGGGGGCGAGCCGTCGGGGGCGTGCTTCCCGAAGAAGACGCACGCGCCCGCCACGGGGCCCGGCACGACGGCCGGGGTCCCGGCGAACACCACCACGATGTCGTCGTCGTCCGCGGCGGGAGGCGACGGCCCCAGCGAGTGCGCTGCCTCCAACGCCTTGGACTTGGCGCGCGCCTGCAACTGGGGATGGGCGACTGTCAGAGGGTTTTTATTTTTTCATAACGTTGCGCAAAGCATCCACGTAACCAATATTAATAACCAATATATAATTAAACATTAATAAATATAATTTACACAAAGGCGATTATAACTACAGATTAATGCCGCCAGCATGAAAATGCATTCTGATAGTGTAGAGTTAGCAGATCACCCTAACGTTACATTTGAAATAAAATTCCATATAGTATGACCGAGTGATCGATTAGTATATTCCATATAAATCGCCGACTGAACACGGTGAAACAGCAGGCTCCTCTGTTATTTTGAATTCGAGATGCCGCAAGCGCAGTGACTCAAAACTCACATATGTTAAGGGGTTCTTAATTAATCGATTAATGTAATATCAATTAATTTTTGACATGTTTTAAATAGGGCATGCAATGTTAAAATATTTAACTTTTAGTTTGTATGTGTGTCAGAACAAATCAAAATGAAAATTGGGTTAATAAATAATTAAAAAAACGGGTCACGACAATACGAATCATTTCCAAAGTTTGGTTTTATTTAATTGATTTTTTGAACTTTATTTTTGTATACTTCAATTTTAGTAATTTCATGAAAACAGAAAAAGTGTTTTTTAAACTAATATTACAGTAATACAATCTAATGGTGTACTAGGTTCAGAAAATTTCTCGAGTAACTCGCAAATCTATCTCTTACACCTTTAATTCACAATGTGCCACATCTAATATATCAGAACATTGGCATTTCATTTTATTAGCTTTTCGAACATGAAAGTAATCGCAAATGTTTATCTATATTATTTGTCTTCGGGGAGAGATATACAGAGGAAGAATTCCGTTGGTAATGTTTCTGTGTAGTGCTATTTTTATATTTATTGTATCAAAAACAATATTTGAATATAAATAATAGAGATAAAGCCAAAAATAATTGATTAAAATGTTTCGATGTTTCATTAAACGTGATCAATTCGTCAATCCCTACCTGCGACCTCACGGACGCCTCCGGTTCGTCGGCCGCCAGCAACCTGGCGGTCGCGGGCGGCCCGCCAGACGCCGCAGACCTCACGGAGGCTGGCGACCCATGAGGGGCGTGGGGCCGCTCTGGGCCCGGCGACTCCTGGGCCGCCGGCGCTTCGTTGTCGCTCGCCGAGCGTTCCTCCATAGCGCTGCTGGCTGTCTGGGCGACCGCCTCGCACGCGGCCTCTGCGCCCCTGCCGCCCTCGCCGCCCGTGCACAGTGGGATGCTTTCCACATCTGCCCGGGCAGAGGGGTCGATTTGTGATGTTTCATATTACTAAAGCGTATATTGAGACTGAAATAGTAATGTAAAACTACACTTTCTTTGCGTTCACAAATGCAGATTTCGACCAAATTAACTGCGCGAAATATTAAATGTATGGCATTGTCGTGTTCGGATTCAAATCTTAAGCATGACTATGATGGTTAGAAATGGAGAACAAAGTATTGGCTTAAAAATAATGAAAAAATGAAGAAAATAAAAGAGAAAAAATAAAAATGAGAAGAAATTCGCACTCAGAAGAAAATGGAAAATAAAGGGAAGGAAATATAAACAAGGGAAAGGGGATAAAAATAAACTAAGGAAGAAAAAAGAGAGAAAACACGGTTTTGTCCACGAGGGTCGTAGAATTCCAACACTGTGTTAAGCTCCGACCGCGACCATGGCCACACCGCCACCACATCCTTCCTGGCCGCCCCACCTCCGCCTCCTCCCCGCAAGCACGCGTTGTGGGTTTTACTGAGCAGCCACCGCTGACGATGCTGCATTGCGTCGGCGAACTTCTGCAGCGTCTGCTATCCGTCTGCATAGGTTTGTGGTGATAAAAGGATGTCGCGGAGAACGCGAGAGATTAAATAAAGTCGTAGGCTTCCGCGGCCAGTCACGCGAGAGTTTGTTTTCATATGTTTTCTGGAAGAAATTGGTCAAACTAAGGGATCATTTGAATTGCGGAAAGTGGAGATTTTCTGGAGAGAGTAGATTTGACACTATCGAAAATTCAACTAACTAAAGATGGTAGTTTGTATTCACGAACGTGATTGCACTCCCACGAAAACGCTTCCGTGAACTCGTGGCTTTCATCAGTTACACTACCCCTAATGAGTGATGACAAAATCTCGGTAATAGAAATGTGAGCAAGAGAGATGTGGATCCTGAGGCTAATGAATGAATTTCGTGAATGAAAATCCCAGCATTGCAATAAGAGAGAATACAGTTAACGTTGTTTCTCTGTACGCGACTGGAACTTTAATGTATTCAGCACTTAACGCTATAGTCATTCGCAAGATCTACGTGCGATGCTAGGTTGTAGGATATGTGTTGCTGATTGTTTCGTGAATAATTACCCTTCTGGCTTTTGAGCTGTCTTTTACACATTGTTGGACCGCAAGTTTCAGGGACCCCGATCGTTACTCGCTTTTGCGTCAAACACAATTCAGTACAGATGAATTTCCTCAGAAAACTAGTGGTGCTAAAACAGCACGTACTCTCACGCAAAAATACTCGAAAAGTACTCAAATTTTGGAAAATTTGTACATGACCTTATTTCAAAATCTATCTGGAACAGATTTCATTAAGGGAAAAATGTCTATCTTCATCATTGTAGTTGTGGGAAGACGTTGAAACAATTTAGAATTTTTGAAATTTTCGAAAAATATTAGTTTTTAACGAAAATGAGACCTGCACCATTCTCTTAAACGTCCTTCACGCTATTCAATAACAAAATTTAATCAATATCGATGGAGCTATTGTTTTGAAAATTTAGACAATGTCCCAGGAGTTTCATGTAATGTACGCTCCAAAATTTAAATATCGGTTTCTAAATTTTTTTCTAAATTTAGTAACTGTATTTTTCCACCCTCGTTTATAGGGCCCTGTAATAAGTGTTTTTCTGCCAAACATTCACCCTTCTTTCGCGCAAGCTTACGTAGCTTTCTCTCCACTGCGAGAAAGTAAAATTATTTCAGAGAGGACGTAAGGGTAGGGGAATGCCACTACCGTAAGTAATTTCGCCAGCCAAGGTTTTTGAATGCCCGCTGATTCAAAATAACAGATATGAAGCTAAGGAAGAACAGATGTGATGAAGCCAAGTTGAGGAAGGTTTCGGATTGTGCGTACTTCCAACAAGCTTTGCATAGTACCAGAATATTAAAAAAGTTAATTTAATTTAACTGATTACACTGATTTAATTATGGTGTCTTCTGACGTACAATTAGCTAACGATTATCTAACGGGAGCTTCAATACCAAAAATTAAGAGGTAACGAAGCTCCCGGATAATCGCGTCCAGCTGGTAAAAAGTCATAAGTCATTCTTTAAATCGAAGTACAACTGTTTTGATCCAACTTCGCCGTTGTACTGGCGAAGCGGTAAACTTATTTAGTGTTCCTCTACGGGTAAATACAGCAATATGTGATTAATCTCTTGGGACTGGCGTGTACTTTTGAATTCTGTAGCATGATACCAGATCATAAGACGGAATTCATAGTGACGATTTTCCTCGGTTGCCCAGTGACCACTTTGCCACAAAAGTGCGTTCATGTTCTCCATAAAATCGGACATTGTAACTAATTTTTTTGTGCGTTGTTGTGCTATGCAAACCCATTCCCATCTCTTCTTCCGCTCACCCGACATTTCTAATTGAACAATAATATCGAAAATAGTACAAGTTATCTAGAAGAGTTAATTTTTACTTTTCAGCCCTGCAAACACATTTCTGTAAGTAGTAGTATTGAAATGTAGTAGTAGTAGTGAAATAGAACTTCGTCAAATATCATCCCATGAGACATTTTGACTCATTGGTACAATGACATGTTCACATGGCAGACAGTTTTTGATGTAGCTTGGTGTAAACATTTCACTCCGGTTAGTACAATTTAAGCCCGATCTCCCCAACTACAAGGAAATCTTTAAATATTCTATGTGAAAAATTGGATTTTGATTTTCTCTGTCTTTTCTGAATTTTATCTTACTTCAATCAAATTATATCTTTATAACTGTTTGACTATGTTGACTATAGTTGTAACACTTGTCTGTGCTTATCACTCAAACTTCGTTGCTTTACTTACCTGCATCAATGGGCACTGGAATCCAGTTCACGCGAGAAATTTTTTTGTTCCACCTGGGGAGCGGAGCCTTTGCACGCACATTCCGACCAACTTTCCGAACAAGTTATTGATGGAGAAGACCGAATGGCTGATGAAATTGGTATGTGGAGAAGTTCGCTCAATGAGCCGTGTGGTAGAGAGTAGAATTCTCAAAAGACATGCCTCATTGTGCGTTTCGTGTTGTATTCTCTGTTTGGAAGTAGGCAAGTAAGCAGCAATATTACAGTATCATTACTCCACGAATTAAGGGAAGGATATAATTGATAACAATATAATTGATTAATAGAATTTGCAAAATGTTAATTATGAAGTCATATGATACTACTTGATAGTGGCCTTATTTATTATACAGGGATTCTTGTGCAAGTAGAAAATCAATATCATAAAAGCTACAAATATATTATGAACCCATTGCTTTAAAAAGTCACTCTGAAAATATTTAATTGAAGCCTGCTTTCTCCATACTTAGCAGGTAGTATTACTTCTGGCGCAACACATCTTTCTGACTTCCAGCCTCCAATTTAAGAATGGTCTTTATTTCAAAGATTATTGGAATTTAAGTAGAGAGTGATTGATTATAAAAGGAGGCTTTAGTACACGGATCTTATGTATCAATAGAGCTCGGTTCGCAATTAATCCATAAGAAAAATAATTAATAGTGACTCATGACGAAAGGAATGTCGAAATCGGCTGTCTTGTAACCAGTGAAAGATCTTTGACCTGTAAACCATCTTGCTATCAAATGTGATGTAAGTTTTTGCAGTTGAGACTCCGTTCATGATTGTAAATTGTACGTCACTGATAGTTCGATGCGTTTTGTTCAGAAATATGAAGTTACGTAGCGCAAATTATCACAAGTAAATGGTACCGACTTATTTTCGTTATTTGTTTCTAACGAAGTTGCACTTTGAGAGAGGTTTCTTGATGTGAATTCTTCTTAATCGAAGCATCATTATTTGCCTGCTGTAAAATTTCATAAAAATTCTTGCGGAGTAACTCGGTAATGACCCTAAAGTTTGCCGCCTGTATTTCTGTACATTAACAGGAAGTTAAGCAATTTGAGGGAAAGTAAAATATGAAAAAAAACTACATACTATGTACTACATACTAAATATACTGTCCTAAATACTACATAAAAAATACTTCACTATGCGTTTCTTTTGGTAAAAATGTAAAACAGATTTTTGTGAGTTTGTGATAATGAGTGAGTTTTAAATGGAAATTCTCACATTCTCAATAAATACCATTGTTCTATTGAAACTTAAGATTATTTAACAGTATACTGTACACTTTGCTTGTCAATATGGGGAGAAATTGAAATGGATGAAAATCTTCAGGAACAGTTGAGTAATTAATGAAAAATGCAAAAATTATTACTCTAGCATTTTTTCACAATGTAGTACTATGAGCGTGAGAAAAGGAATAGTTCTCATGTGAAACAGGAAACAAAGAATACGGAATACAAGTATTGAAAACTTTTCTGGTATTCAATAACAGTGAATATTGTATGAAAATGAAAATAATTAGGTTGAATAAATATAAAAATATATTATACAAAATGAATAATTCATTCAGTAATTAAATTCAAAATTACGTAAATGTAAGAAATATCAATAAACAATGAATATACTTTTCCCTTTGTTCTTTTGGTATTGCACCGGCATGCATTATAATACATTTATTAAATATCAAAGAAGCGGGTATGTTGTGCGACCACGTGCGCTCGCGCTATTGGCAGTCGCCGGCCGGGTGGTCGCAGGCCAGGGAAGTAGCCCACCTGCGGCGGGGCGAGCGCGGCCGCCCCCACGCGCTGAACGGGTAGCCCGCGGGCACCTTGCCCAGCGCCGTGGTGGAGCACTTTCGAAA